AGGGCACAGCTGTGCGTGAGGTCGCCCCGGGCTCTGCATCCGTCCTGGGCTGGCAGGTGCCGGGACGCCGTGCTGTCTGCTCAGAAACGCCCATGCTGGAAGACAGAGTCTTTACCGCTCAGTTGCAAGTGCAGATTCTCATGTGTTCATGAGAGCCCAGGCTGAAGAGTTCCAGTTGACAAATGTGGCTTCCGTGCTGGTAACTGGACTTTGAGAAAGAGTCACACTGTACTGCACTGTAGAAAGAGTTCAGAAAGAATACAGCCTCCAGCATGCCATGGTCCCTAACGGAGCCCCTAGAGAGGCCTTGGTTGGCCTCAGGTCTCACAGGCGAAAGCAGAAAAGACTATTCAGGGGAGAACCTTTGGGGGAAATGAGGGTGTAAGTGCTGAAGAGGGGTCGACAGGAACAGCTGGCCTGCAAGTAGCTGGATTTTCTAGAAGTCTCTTTGCCTTAATGCTAGTACAGTCTGACCTTGGCACTGGATGATTTAGTGTTCTGAGGACAGGAAACAGATCTGTGTACTCGACCTCCTACCATACCCTCTGTCAGTGCTCAGGACAATGGCATACCCATTCAACAAACATACATTAAAACAAAAATCGAGTTCAATAGCACGCTATTTAAATCCAGGCTAGATTCTCCATTGTATTGCTCAAAGCTTTGATGGTAGCTATCATCTCATTAGTTCTTTTCCTTGCCTTTCCTTTGCCCTCCAAAAAAATTAATCCAGCTTGGTTTGCACTGGTAAACTTTTGTCTGCACGATGATGACCAAAGAAAACCCTTAAGCTCAAATTTACAGAAATGGATTTACAGACTATACTCATCCTTCACTGTTTAATTTGCTGAAAACAATAAAGAAATTAAAATTTTCCTGAAAATGTAATTTTCTTAGATCCCCTTTTTTGATTTATGACCAAGGTAGCACAATGGTTAATGATTTGGGGTCAGAGAGAGGCGTGTGATCGACACCCACCCTGTTCCCTCTCCTCTTCCTTTCTCTCATTTGAAACCTGAGCACTTGGGTCAGGTGTCTGTGACATAGCAATGTGTGGCATCTCAGAAGGCATGTTGAGGATGGGAACCAGATACATGGGCCTGATTCTGACAATCTTGACCCAGATCTGTGTCCTAACTCTTAGTATCAAAACTGTAGCATTTAAAGTCCCACACACAGGGTTCAAGTCTTGACACGCTGAGAGGCCTCAGATAGTCAAGATTTGAGGTTCATTTCTGGCCTCCATTAGAGGATGATCTTAATACTTTCCTCATTGCATTGCAGGGAAGGTTAGATGTGGTAGTAATAGGTATAATACTTTGTCAGTGGTAAAATACACAACATGGAAGACATATTGTTGTTATTATTAATGCCATGAAAACATCAAAATGTTTACAGGAAAATCCAGCTCTAAGCATGGCAATCCAGTGCTGGTCCTCTGTGGTTGAGCTCGAAGAATGTATTTTAGTAGGTGGAGTGTTGCTAAGTTCCTATTTGCAGGGACACAGCAATCTTTCCTGGGACTGAAGATGAGAACTAGTTTATTAGAACCTTGGCTTCACTTCTGATTGGACTTGTTCTTTTCTCCCAACCCTGCTAAAAATTGAGCTGAGAGATTAAGGCTGAGTTACAAATGCTCCAATTTTTAGGTAGGGCTAAACCACAAAACGTGATTTCTTGTTTAGCAATTAGGAAAGACAATGTAGTTGATGTCCCTGGAATTAGTTGTTCTTTTTTTTTTTTTTGAATTAGTTGTTCTTGCCAGTGTTTTTATTAAAGGCAAAGAAAATGTCAATATAGAGCCAGGGAGATGGCTCAGTGAAATAAGCACTTCCCTGGCAAGCGCAAGGACCTGAGTTCAATCCCTGGTTCTGAAAAAAAAAAAAAGTCAATATAGTTGGAAAAATAGATGCCAAATAAAATAGAAATTCCTTTTGTTTACAAAAAGATGCACACATATACATAGGCACCTAATTTTTTTAAATTTAAGTTTATTGGTAGAATTTAGGTATATGTAATGACCACATTCATTATAGGGAATTTGTATCTATACATGATATTACTTTCAAATCCCCTTCCCCTCCCATTCACAAAGCTTAGTTTTTGTTTTATCCTCCTTTTCTCATTTTTCCCCTTTCTTCCTTTCCCCCTCTCTATTTCCCTTTTCTTTTTGAACAGTTTCGTCCTATTTCACAACATCTATTTATGTTCTTATTTACATTTTCAATGTCTCATACCAGAGCACTAATGCGATATCAACCCATGTGTGGGTGATTGATTTCATTTATAGTTATGGGCTCAAGGTCCATCCATTTAGCCGTGAGACTCTTGATTTTATCTTTCCTTATGGCCAAGTAATACTCTATTACATTAAAAAAAAAAATCCTTTCTATCCATCCATTGGTGGATAGGCATTTGGATTGCTTGTGAGGTTTAGCTAGTACAAACGGTGCCACTATAAACAGTGCATATATTGCTGTGATGTGATGCTGTTAATTTTTCTGGGAAGATACCCAGAAGGGCAATAGCTCGGTTGAGCAGGATCTCTAATCCTAGTTTTTGAGAAATCTGCACACTGACTTCCACAGTGGTTGTACCAGTCTACACTCCCACTGACAGGAGAGAAGTGTTCCCTTTTCCCTATAGCCCACCCACCAGCATTTGTTATTGGCTGACTTGTTGATAGTAGCCATTGCTTCAGGAATGAGATGGAATCTAAGCATTGTTGAGTATTTTTTCATATATTTATTTACCATTTGTACTTCTTGTGAGAAATATCTATTCATGTCAGATGCCATTTTTGGATTGGGTCTCTGAATTTGCAGGGTCTGATATTTTTTCAGATCTTTGTATGTTCTAGATATTTGTTCTTTGTCTGAAGAATTGTTGCCATAGTTTCCTACTCCATGGGTTATCTTTTTGCTCTGTTGATTTCTTTTTTCTTTTTCTTTTCTTTCTTTTTGTTTTTGAGGTACTGGGGATTGAACTCAGGACCCTGCGCTTGCCAGGCAAGTGCTTATTCTACTGAGCCATCTCCCCGGCCCGCTCTGTTGACTTCTTTTGCTATGCAAAAGCTTTTTATTAGGATGAGATTAGTTGTTAATTCTTTGAAGTACGTCCCATGCAGTCAAGGTTTTATTCATAAATTCTTTGCCTACACCTGTCTTCAGAATTCTACCTATGCTATCTCCCAGTAGATTTAGTGTTTCTCTTTTAAAAGTTAGACCTTTGGTCCATTTTGATTTTAGTTTAGTGCATGGTAATGAACGTGGCTCCAGTTCTAGTTTTCGTCATGTGGAAAGTCAGTTTTTCCAGTACTATATTTCTTCCCAAGAATGCATTTGGCCTCTCTGTCAAAGATCAGTCCAACTGACTTATGACCAAGCTAGTACAATAGTACAATGAAGAAAAGATACATGGTGCTTGGTTAATTTGATATTTATTGGGAGGGGAAAGCTTCTTGACTTTTACCTCACATAACAACAGAAAATCAGTTCTCAGTTAACTCAGATCAAAATATGAAGGTAAAATAATAAAGCTTTTAGCTTTTAGAATAAGTATGCAAGATGTTGGATCATGATGTTGTGATAAGTAAAGATTTCAGTGGAACCCAAAAAAAGAATAACCATAAAGAGAAAAAAATGCTGTGTTGTGTTTCATTAAAATCAAGAATGTGTTTACTACAAACACCTTAAAACAATGCAAAGGCAGTCCGCAACTGGGAAAATATATTTCCCATAACTCTAGCAGACCAATCGTGCTTCCAGAATATGTGAAAACCTCTTCATCTCCCTCATTATGCGTACATATGTGTAGCATTCGAATACAAGGAACTCTAGCAAATAAATAGGACAACTCAATACAACAAAAGCAAAAGATGTGGATGATTTATGAAAGATGAAAAAAGCTAGTAAGTATACTAAAGAGGATTCAGCCTAATAACCGCTATAAAAATAGACTAAATGTAAAATTACTATACCCCCATCAGAACATATAAAATAAGAGAAAGAAAATGCTAAGTATTGATAATCATCTGTCATACATTGCAGATGAGGATTTGGATGGTAGGAACCACTTTGGAAAGTTATTATTAATATCTATTAAATCATAGTATTCAAAGTAGGTAGGATAGATATATAGTTGCATTCTCTTAATGAATAGAATGATTTGTTCTAATGGTGTTAGTAAATAGGATCTCAAGTCTGCATCTTGTACAGCAATTAACCACTAAGAAGAATATATGCAGTGTGTTATTTGTTGAAACTGTACTTCCAATTAGATTTGAAACTGTCTCATTGCTGTTTATCAATAAAATTTTGAAATAATAATAATAAAATATAAATTGCAAATAAATAAAAAATAAATAAATAAATCATAAGTACACTCTGTTCCCTAACAGTTTCATGCCTAGATAAACACATGACAGATATTCATGCAGGTTTTTTTTCCTCCAAAAGACATGTACTAGGATTTTTATTGCAATACTGTTAGCCAAGAAGGTAGAAATTTCTGGAAATAAATGGCCATCAAGAGTGAGGTGAATAAATATATTGTAGTATATTCATGCAATGGAATATTCTAAAGCAGTAGAAGCCATAAACTATGCATTATAAATTACGGATGAGTTTCACACCTAGTGAGAAAAAGAGGCCAGATGTATATTTATATGGAAAAGTAGATAAGCCAGTCCACAAGGTCAGAGGTCAGAATGGTAGTTCTGTTGGTGGAAGGTAGTGACAAGGACATGTTACCACAGGAGTTTCTGACCTTGCTGATAGCATTAGGATTCTTTAGCTGGGTTGTACTCATACAGGTATGTTCACCTGATGAAAATCCATTCATCATATTATATACCTATGACAAAATATACTTGTGTTCTATGTCCTTAGACATGTATAGTATAAAGCTTTCAGTTGACCGTGTGGATCTATTCAAGCTGCAACCTTTCTAATTAAATATTTTGTCTCTGTGTGTTTGTTGTTTGTTTGTTTTTTCTCCAGGGCCCTCCTGGTCCAAAAGGTGATAAGGTAGGAAAATGCATGGCAGAAATTAATGAAATTATTAGAAACCTATATTGATATAACCTATACTCTGTTATACTTTGACTTTTTAAATAAGCATCACACGTAGATTTTGGTTAAAACTCTTATCTTATCCTTGTTACAGGGAGAACAAGGTGACCAGGGACCTCGGGTAAGTAATTATTTTCCTTTCTGGGGCAGAAAAATTCATTTCTAGTGCTAAACTTATTGAGTGAGAGTACTCGAGCTTCATAACTGCCCTTGTGCTGCATGCTTTAGTAGTGTTAGTAAAATACCATGGCTCTTGCAAGTGAAAAGGGCTCAGAAATAACCAATATGTACATTCTGTGTATTATCTTAACTTGATGCCCACAAATAGAATGTCCTGCAGTAATCAGACCAACTGACCAAGGGGCAGGATCTCTTCCAAAAGTCATCAACATCCACTTTTCAAGCAGTACAGGGTCCTTCAGATTCACAGGCATCATTTTGCACCATTAGAGCCATGTGGCGCTCTCTTGGACCTAGCATTTTTCTGCAGTTGAACTTTATGTGCTATTGCATAAGTATGTTTTATTATAGATAAAAATATTAATACGTTCCTTATATTGCTCTTCATCATATGTTTGAATAATACTCATTTGAATTTCTTGTTTTTTGTATATTTTTAAGCAGATCAAAGGTGTAACATGACTCAGCACTGTGGGAGGAGGGACGTTTCTCTAGCTTGCTCCAATGTGGCCCTTTAAACCCTCACAACCAATAATGAATGCTTTGTTGTTGCCTTGGTAGTGCCAAGTCTGCTGCTTCACATCTGTGCCTTATTACCCAAATGTTCAGACATACTGTTCCAATGATGTAGTGGCTCTGTTCAGACATACCTTTCAATTTTCTCATGTCAGTATGCACAACAGCGAGTAATTGGTTGAAGGGAGTAATTTTTTACAGTGGAAAAGCACATTTAAATCTCCCAGGTTGGAACAGAAACTATGTAGGTCTTTATGCAAAGTGCACCCTGCTTAATTATTGTACTCATTTGTACCCCCTATTCCTTTTTCCTTTTGCAAATGATTCAGCTGATGCACAACTGGAAGGGATTTTGCCATATCTCATGTTTCTTAAAGCAGTTAAAGGTTATTCCATATTCCTTTTCTTTCCAGTCTTCATATAGAAATGAGGATTAGACCTCATCTTTGAGTTTCTCATGGTGATTATTCTACTGATAACTAGTGTGAAGCTAAAAGCCCATCTTAATATCGTGCTATCTGCTGTCATGGATGGGAATGGAATAAAACTGAGACCCTTAAATGGTGAGACTGCAGCCCCTCTCTGTAGGTGGTGATTGGTTCACGCGGCCTGTCCCCACTCACTGAGTGGCATTTCTTTCTACACACAGTATTAAAATCACTCAGCTTGCCCTTTCCAGGTAAGAGGAAAACTGTTCCCCTTCTGAGAAACCTTCCTTTGGCAAAAGAAGTGAAGGGGTGGTTCGCAGCTTAGCTGTCATCAGTCCTCACACACTTCTCATTTTCAAAAAGGTGTGTTGGCTTTCATCGTAATGGGAAGTGATGATTGATGGTAAAGCAAGGCCGAATTTTCAAGAGGAAACCTGAAACCATCTGAAATTCACCTGGTTTCATATTGCATTACACATGGAGGCTTGGGCCAGGGTCCTTGAAGTTTGGCCAAAAGTTCACAAAATACTTTGACAAACCCAGACTGCCCTTCACACAGACTTCAACCCGTTTTCACACTCACTGGGGCCAAGTTACTGGAGATTCAGGGGCCAATTAGCATTTCATGGGGGGGGGTGGAGTGGAAAAAAATGTATTCTTCTCTCTACTGGAGTTTACTTTGTATTGAAAGAATTCAGGTTTAATTCCCAATGCAGGATGATCTTGCTGGGTAAATGTCCTGGAAGGTGTTTGTGAAAGAGAAGGAGAACCCTGCTATTGACCTCAGATTCCTCATTGAGGGTTCTCAGTAATCTTAGAATTCTACAAACATTCTGAAAAAAAAAAAAAAACCAGTATTTGCTTGCTTATTAGGAAATGCATCATATAAAGACACTTAAATCTTAAATGAAGATTTTAGGCATGCTTTTATGCCACTGAGCTATCTCCTCAGCCCCAAGCCTTGGATTTTAATGAAAATGAAATAGCCTCCTTTTAGGAACTCTACTCCAGCCGATGTTGGCTGTCTTTCTTATAAAGTTTAGATCTTTTTATTTGATACTCCATTTCCATCCTATTGTGCATTTTCTTTCTCAAAGAGCTTTATTTCTAAAAACAGGCAGTGAACAGATGAATGAATAAACAAAAATCAAACATATATATCATAGATTGTAAATTCCACTCTGGCCATTTGTTTCACATGATTCATTGCTTCTCAAAATTAACATTATGACCTTCCAAACTCCATCATTTCTGTCCTTTGTTAGGTGACCTTCCACCATGGAACCCATTCTGTTTCCTTAATTGTGAAGTCTTCATTTTCTCTTTCTCTCTATCTCTGGCTCCCCATGTGTCAAAGAATTTGTTGTTATAATATGTGATTAAAGTAGGAAAAACGGAAAGAAAACATAGAAATTAAAAATAAAAAGCTATTTTGATGTACCAAGACATACACTGAAGAATATATTTGAGCATTATCATGTTCAAGATACTATATGAGATACTATAGACACAATTGTCTCCACTTCTTTCTTTCACCTCTATGACCACCAAATTCAACCTGCTGGTTTCTGCAGGCTCCTCCAATTCAGCTTCCTGCTCCCATCTTTGACCCTGTGTAATCTATTTTCTTCACAGAGGCTGGAGAGATCATTTTACATTATAAATTAGATCATGTTACTCTCTGTTTAAGGCCTTAGTGAGAAATCCAAGCCACTCTACTTGGCCTCCGTGGACCTTCAAGATCAGCCCTGTCACCTCTACCACTGCTGCTCCCTGTGCCTCCTGCCCCCCACTCCAGCCATACCACACTCAGACCCAACTTAGTGGCTTTGAGGTGTACTCTTCTGGTCTTCTTGGAGTTGGTTCTTCTCACTGAGACTGCAGCTCACCTATCACCTCCTAGGGAGAGCTGCCTCTCTACTCAGCCTGACCTGAGATGACCCTGTTTTGCTCACTCATTTGCTGGTTCATTGTCTGAAAGGACTTGTTCCTCCTCTCTGGGAACACATGCTCCATCAGAAGGAGGTGGTCTGCCTTATTTGTACCATCAGCACCTAGACTGGGAAGGGCTTGGTGAATACTTTTCAAATAAATCTATAAATATGATTACTACTGCCCACAGATGCACATGGGTGCCTCAGTAAGAAAACTATGTGGTTGAGGGCTGGTGAGATAGCTCAGCAGACTAAGTACCTGCTGAGGCAAGCACAGGGTCTGGGGTTCAATCCTTGATACCACATGCCACACCAGCCCTGCCCTTGGGTGAACTGAGCCAGCCACCAAGACTGGGTGTGGTGGTGCATGCCTGTAATCCCAATGCTAGGAAGGCTGAAAACAGGAGGATCACTATGAGTCTGCTGAGACAGGAGGATCACTATGAGTCTAAGCTGCATAGTGAGACCCAATACATGAAAAAAGATAAAGAAAGAAAACTGTGTAGCTGCATGTTACATGCTATAAATAGTTATACTGGAAAAGAGAATTTTCTTCCACTTGAAAGATCTCCACTGGAGATCTTGAAAGAGCTGACCCTTGAACTAGAAATTGATAATAAGTAATCTTCTGAAGTCAAAGTGAAGAGTAAAACAGTATAGATTCCAGGGAAAGGAAATAGTACAAAAACAATATTATATAAATAGAAAATAGTGTGATTCATTTAAAGAACAGCATTTGCCAAGGAGAGAAGTTAAATATCAAAAAATTATTTGAGGTTAATTTTTTATTGATGTAATATTATGGGGCATTTTAGATTTCTTATGTGGTGGGTAATAGGAAGCTTATGAAGAATTTTAAGCACAACATTACCACCAGACTATGGTGATGATGTGTTCTGCATCACTTGATGTGAAGCATCAAATATTCTTTATAAAACCTATTGTGTCATAGTGTTCATTGCAGAATAGAATTGAAAAGAGTGAAGGCATAGAAACAAATATGTCACTTATCCAGGACAAGAACCTAACATCTGGCTCTGAAGAAGATGACAAGGTCAGCAGCAGGCCAAGGCTGGCTCAGCCTTGAGCACCAGATCCTCCTGGGGGAGGGGACGTGCTAGCAGAAGGGACACAACTAGAGTCAGGTGTTTGGTCATAGGAAAGAGCTAAGCCAGCCAAGGAAAGGATCCCAAATGGCTCATCAAATTATGGAAGGAAGCTCTGCTTCTCCTATGGAAGGTGTGAGCTGAGTGTCATAGGCATTTTCCTTGTCAGTGGGGCAGGACACTGGACAGCCATGACTAAAGGAAGAAAGGTTTATTTTGACTCACAGTTTCAACCCATGATTGGCATGGTGCAAGGCTCTGGTAGGAGCATGCTGTGCACATCGTGGTGGCCAAGGAACAGAGAAAGGAGCCCAGAAGGGAGATGCACCCTTGGGATCACACCCTGGACCTCCTCTTCCGACCAGGCCCCTCCCCTAAAGCCATATCCAGCTGTAGGACCTTGATCTTATGACCTACCGAAAGTCCCACTACCGAACACATGATAGCTTTGGGGGTCCTTCAGGATCTAAATTATAACAATGAGTTTTTCTTACATAAGTTTGGAGAAGGCATTTAATGGTGCTATTTTTATAATTATATACTTCAAGGATATTGATTGCAATATTTTGGCCATTCTTTCATGTAGGTCAGAAGGCTATGGAGTCAACACTTCTATGTCTATAATATCTAGAAGAAAAAATGGTCAAGAAAATACAATTTCCCGCCAGGAATTTTATAGCAGACTTCTGCTCATGTCTTTCTGGCCAGTCTGTGTCATGAAGGTAGCCAAAACTGAAAAGGGTAAGAGAATGAAATGAAGAAGAAAACTGCATCATCTCCCTAATAGGTTTGCCCAAAGTACCAAGCAAGACACTGGGTACACAGAGAGGAGAAAGCAGGAGTGATGCTAGTGGGAGAGAAATGGATGAGCAGGAAGCCATGTTAGCAGGAGGTAGGGCATGGTTCAATCTGTTAGACTTGTGTCTAGGACTGGTGGCCATGCCTGGGGTGTGGCCA